CGTTCTCCAACAAGAATTTCCAACAGACAGCTTGCCCGTGGAAGTGACAGACATGAGAGAACAGAGGGGGGCCACTCAAGCGAATCCAAAATTGCTAAGCTTGTTCGACCCCACATTTGGAGCCGCGTGTGCTGCAGTTGGTCCGCACCCAAAGTGGACATCGGCGGCACTGGTGGCCGAACAGGCGTTCCAGACACAGCAGCTAGAACACTTCCACCTTTGAGCTGCAGGCGGACTTACAAGACAAACAGGATCTAGCTTCTAGGAGAACTCTCAACTGCTACCTTGCACAGGCGAGGCAGTGGCGCTTCACAGAAGTCCGCTACCAAGAAAAACAGAGTGTGCATCTTTCACTTGACTGAAAACATTCGAAGCAAAACGAAACGAGACAAAACGAGTGCACTCACTAATCTGATTCAAAAGCACTTCTAACACTGAGGCAGACCGAAAAACACCAAAGATCAAATGACACTTTTTCCAAACAGAATCCTGCCCGAAAATCAGAAAATACACGGGTCTGTGTTGCGGAGGGGTGGCACGGGTCTGTGTTGCGCGGAGTAGAATTTGCTGATCAACAAAGTCCCTTGAAGCGCCTGTTGCGAGCGATGTTGTCCGTCCGTGCTGAGGCGCAAGATCTCCAAAGGCCGAGGTTTGTGACAGCGGATGCAACCTCCTGCGCAAAGAGACACGCAACCACAAAGCAATTCATTGGTCTTGAGACCTTTTGTGAAGATGTAGCCACAATCATCTTCTTATCTAAGCATTGGGAAGAATGGTGTTTGCTTGCAAAAGCTTTAAAAGACCTCGATTTCACGCTCGAACAGACTGAGAGAGCAAAAAGAAATTGAAGTAGAGGCGCAACTCGACAGCGAAAAGTGCAGTTCGGACTGTTCTTTTGAGGGAACGCAACAGCCGTTCCAGCAACAGCAAATGCAACCAGAAGCAAGGCAGAGGCAAGGAATGTTGCAAATGGGTCTCTGCTAAAAGAGCAAAAAAAATCTGGCAAGAGCCAGGTGAGCCCATGTCGTGCATGAGGGGTTTTGGAGTTAAGCACCGTGCACAAATTCCGAACCGTCAGCCACACCTCTCGATACCATAACTCTACACAGCTCAAGAAGTCCTGTTCAGATCTGGTGGAGATACCTTCCAGAAAATTCCGCCGCTCTTGTATGATCTGTTCCGGCCGACCTTCTCGATACCATAACTCTGCATGGCATGGCTTGATCTGCTCTGTTCAGAGATGCAGAGTCACCTCTGGAAAAATTCCCTGTCTTTGTACGATCTCAAAGCTGCACAGTTATGGGGCTGTCGGGCGACCCCATTTTAAGGCCCGCAAAACACAAGCAATTCTGGCTTCGCCAGGTCGGCCCTCCACAGTTGCACTCCGCTGGCTGCAGCACCATTAAGGGCAAGCAACACAGCTGCTTTGGACAAGTTCCGACCTTCCAAACGGTCCTCCACCAGACGCTCCCCAAAGTCAATACAATCAATGACATGCACAGCTGACGAGATTCAGCCGCTGTGGGTGCAGGAATCAAACTTGCGACCCCAAAAATGGGGCCGTCTCGCGGCCCCAGAAAAGGAGCCGCGAAATGCAGCCAACCTCCTTTAACATATTTTGACTGGCAACTAGAGGACCCCAAAATCGAGGCCGCTTGGCGGCCCCTGTTTTGGGGTCGCGAATTCCTCATGTTGGGGCCCAAGCCCAAGCCCGTGCATTCCACACTGCTACATCAAGGCGGCCCACAGGCAGGCATTCAGTGTGGAAAAATCATTCTCCAAGAACAAAAATTTCCAACAGACAGCTTGCCTGTGGAAGTGATTGACATGAGAGAACAGAGGGAGGCCACTCAAGCGAAGCCAAAATTGCTTAGCTTGTTCGACCCCACAATTGGAGCCGCGTGTGCTGCAGTTGGTCCGCACCCAAAGTGGACATCGGCGGCACTGGTGGCCGAACAGGCGTTCCAGACACAGCAGCTAGAACACTTCCACCTTTGAGCTGCAGGCGGACTTATAAGACAAACAGGATCTAGCTTCTAGGAGAACTCTCAACTGCTACCTTGCACAGGCGAGGCAGTGGCGCTTCACAGAAGTCCGCTACCAAGAAAAACAGAGTGTGCATCTTTCACTTGACTGAAAACATTCGAAGCAAAACGAAACGAGACAAAACGAGTGCACTCACTAATCTGATTCAAAAGCACTTCTAACATTGAGGCAGACCGAAAAACACCAAAGATCACATGACACTTTTTCCAAACAGAATCCTGCCCGAAAATCAGAAAATACACGGGTCTGTGTTGCGGAGGGGTGGCACGGGTCTGTGTTGCGCGGAGTAGAATTTGCTGATCAACAAAGTCCCTTGAAGCGCCTGTTGCGAGCGATGTTGTCCGTCCGTGCTGAGGCGCAAGATCTCCAAAGGCCGAGGTTTGTGACAGCGGATGCAACCTCCTGCGCAAAGAGACACGCAACCACAAAGCAATTCATTGGTCTTGAGACCTTTTGTGAAGATGTAGCCACAATCATCTTCTTATCTAAGCATTGGGAAGAATGGTGTTTGCTTGCAAAAGCTTTAAAAGACCTCGATTTCACGCTCGAACAGACTGAGAGAGCAAAAAGAAATTGAAGTAGAGGCGCAACTCGACAGCGAAAAGTGCAGTTCGGACTGTTCTTTTGAGGGAACGCAACAGCCGTTCCAGCAACAGCAAATGCAACCAGAAGCAAGGCAGAGCAAGGAATGTTGCAAATGGGTCTCTGCTAAAAGAGCAAAAAAAATCTGGCGAGAGCCAGGTGAGCCCATGTCGTGCATGAGGGGTTTTGGAGTTAAGCACCGTGCACAAATTCCGAACCGTCAGCCACACCTCTCGATACCATAACTCTACACAGCTCAAGAAGTCCTGTTCAGATCTGGTGGAGATACCTTCCAGAAAATTCCGCCGCTCTTGTATGATCTGTTCCGGCCGACCTTCTCGATACCATAGCTCTGCATGGCATGGCTTGATCTGCTCTGTTCAGAGATGCAGAGTCACCTCTGGAAAATTCCCTGTCTTTGTACGATCTCAAAGCTGCACAGTTATGGGGCAAGGCCCGCAAAACACAAGCAATTCTGGATTCTGGCTTCGCCAGGTCGGCCCTCCACAGTTGCACTCCGCTGGCTGCAGCACCATTAAGGGCAAGCAACACAGCTGCTTTGGACAAGTTCCGACCTTCCAAACGGTCCACCAGACGCTCCCCAAAGTCAATACAATCAATGACATCTGACGAGATTCAGCCGCTGTGCATGCAGGAATCAAACTTGCGACCCCAAAAATGGGGCCGTCTCGCGGCCCCAGAAAAGAAGCCGTGAAATGCAGCCAACCTCCTTTAACATATTGACTGGCAACTAAAAAGAAATTGAAGTAGAGGCGCAACTCGACAGCGAAAAGTGCAGTTCGGACTGTTCTTTTGAGGGAACGTAACAGCCGTTCCAGCAACAGCAAATGCAACCAGAAACAAAGACAGAGCAAGGAATGTTGCAAATGGGTCTCTACCAAGAGCAAAAAAAATCTGGTGAGAGCCAGGTGAGCCCATGTCGTGCATGAGGGTTTTGGAGTAAGCACCGTGCACAAATTCCGAACAGAAATCTCTTTAGGAGTTCTTAAGCCGAGACGTGAGTCAAAGGCTACGAGCATCTGTCATTGTGTGCTTTCAGTCTTTTTATTTGCAAAACTCCCACAAAGCGATTCTGTGTGGCTTCTTCTCCTTTTGTTTGTTGTTGGTGTTCTATTCGAACACCGTCCGAACTCTAGAGTTTGGAACCCCGCAGTTCGATTGGAAAGAAGTCTCGAACCGGGATTGGCGGTTCATTTGCGCCTTCAGCATTCTCGTAGCGACTTCATGTCTTTCTAAAAGCCCTCTTGAAAGAAAGACTCTTCGTCTTGACAATCTTTTTCTTTGTTTTTTCTTTGTTTGGTTTCTTTGCAAAAACTCCCAAGCGGTTTTTGTGTGGCTTTTGTGGCAGAAACTGGTACCCAGAGTACGCTCCGGAGGGACTTCCAGAACCCGAGGTTCACATAGTTCTCCAAAGCCCAGGTTCCAACATTGAGTTTCCGAACCCAGAGTTCACTTCCTGGGGGACGGAGGGAGGTTCCGGAATCCGAGCTTCCGGTACAGAGTTCTCCAAACCCCAGATTCGGACATAGAGTTTCGAACGTAGTTCGAAACTCTCTGGAAAACATAGTTTTCGAACCTGGGTTCGAACATGGAGTTTCCGAACCCCCGGATGAAACATAAAGTTTCCAAACCCGGAGTTTGAACATAGAGTTCAAACTCCAGGTTCAACTTGGATTCGAAAAATTCGAACCCAGGGTTGAACCTTGAGTGTCATGCCTTTCGAAACAACGTCTCCGCATTGAGTTGAAGTTCAACTTCCGGGTGTTCTTGCCGTCCAGCTCAAACTCGGTCGGAAGGATCCTCCGAGATGGACCAGGTGAAAGTCCTAGTCGCGAACGCTGCCATCTGGAGGCTTTGATGGCACCAGGAACTTGAAGATGGTCAGAGGTACGGCACACCGAGTGACCGCCGGCGACCGTGACACCACCTCGGAGTACAAACTGTGGTGGGCGAACTTCCGTAAACCCATCATGCTCGAAGGCCAGACTGCTGCCTCCGGGTCTTCCTCATGTGGAATCTGGCTCAGCGCTCACAGTAATGCGCACGTGGAAGCCAAGCCTTCCGATCTTGCGTCTCTTCAAGGTTGTCTGCTCAATTTCCTTCAGAGCCGTTGAGTGCGACAGCGTTTATCCGGCCGCACCAACCATTCTTTCTCAGTGCCTGGATCTTGCTTGATTTGACTGGTGATCCGGATTCGCCTTGCCTTCCATTTTGCAAAAGGGTGTGCCGATCGGCATCTTTTCACCAATCCAAGCTTCTGGTGTCTGGAGCCCATTTCTGTGCCGGAAGAAGCTCCGCGAGAACTTCTCGTCCATCATGAGCCTTGGGGCAGTGCTCTGTCGGATCCTGACATGGCTTGGTCACTCTTGCAGAAAGACATCGAGAAGGGGCATCTCTTTGAGCTGCCGGTGGAGAAGCTGAGGTGTGTGCGCGTTGGGGCAGTCACTTTGCTGCCGGCAAACTTGGTGTTGTCAAAGCTCCCGGAAAGAACCCCCGGCTCGTGGGTGACAGAAGTATCGGTTCGAATGCGCGTTCCCGCATCCAAGAGAAGGTCCGGGTGCCAAACTTCGAGTCTATCCAGCGCTTCCTCAGCCTTGTGGAGTCGGGCAGTGAGTGCCATGGTTCGCCCGTAGCTTTGATGTTCGCGGTGCCCACAAGCTCATTCTGGTTGTTGAGCAGGAGCAGGGCTTCAGTTGCTTTGTCTTCAAGGGTCGGTGGTTTGCTTACCGCTCCTGCTACTTCGGTGCTCGTTGGGCAGGGTACTGGTTTGCTCGCTTAGGCGCGCACCTGGTTCGTTTGCTTCATCAATTCGTTCGTGTGCCACACGGCTTGTTTTTGTATGTCGATGACGGCCTCCTTTTCTTGCCGGCCGGCTGCGCCGCACACCTAAGTAGCACCGCTCTCATGTTTGTGGTTGCATTAGGGATTCCTTTGTCTTGGGAAAAGTTACAGCTTTCCAGAAAGCTTGGCTGGATTGGCTGGGTTTTCGACTTGTGCACGCGATCAGCATCTGCGCCTGCTGACAAAGTAAAGAAGGCAGCAGCAAAGCTTCGCCTCCTGCTCACCGAGGGTCGCAAAGTTGAGCGGCGCGATGTGGACAAGCTGATTGGCCTGCTCCTCTGGTGGACCAACGGCGCTGTGTGGCTACGCCCTTGGCTGCAAGCTGCAAGGCCTGTACCAGCTTTTATTCAAGCCTCGTGCTGTTTGCCGCTCAGTGAACCTCGCTCAGTTTGGGGAGCTTCGCCAGTCGTTGTCTAAACGTCTGGTTGTCTTGCAGTCGCTTGCCTCCTGCGACATCCTGGTTGAGTGGAAGTTGCACAGCGTCAACAATGTTGTCGTATCGGACACAGATGCTCTCGCCTTACAGTTTCCTCGTGTGCGCAACGGTTGCGTGTCACTTGTGTTCTTAGTGTTCTTCGACTACCACAGTTCCTGCATTACAGTGAATCAAGCTGCACGCTTTGCAGCTTGCTTGTTCCACCGCGCAATTTGCGGTTTCACCCAAGTGCCGCTCGCCTTGGCGCCACCTTCAACTGATTATTGTGCGGCGGATGCCTTTGGTTGTCGGAAAACGGGCAGGGCTGGCATCGGTGGTTTCTGGTTGCCTCCTAGTGCCGCTGGGGATCTGTCGCAAGCGAAGTGGTTCTCCATTCCGCTTTCAGCTTCGGACTTGCCTGCTTGGCTTCGTGGGAATAAAACCTCGGGCTTGCAAGGGGTTATTGCAAGCCTTGAGGCAGTTGCCCAGCTTGTGCTGGTAGTCCTGCGTGTGCAGTGCTCAGGCCCTCTCCCTGGAGGCCAGTTCCGTGTGCAGTTTGCACAGCTTTGCGATAACGCTTCGGTGTCTGCGTCGGTGTTTAAGATGCTATCTATGAAGGAACCGCTGTGTTTCGTGCTTCAGGCACTGGGTTTCTGGGCATGCCGCCGAGGATTCCACTTGCAGGTGTCGCACATCGCAGGCGTGCGGAATAGCCTTGCTGACGCGCTCAGCAGAGGTTCAATCCCGGTCGGCTTCCGCGATCAAAACCGATTGCAGGTTTGTGTGCAGGATCTTCTGACTGAGCCTTGGGCTGTTCCATCTTCTCAGAGGCGCCTCCTGGCTTGCGGTTTAGGCCCCCCTTTGTCCGGTTCCATTGCTGTTGCCTGCCACCCCTTTAGGTTGGGCGTAGTGTAGCTGGCGTGTGGCCTGGCATCTGCAATGGTCGCTTTGCACCTGCTAGTGGGGGATGAGCCAGCGGCAGGATTTCCTGCCGCCTGGCGGAGTGTGCATTGCGACCATTGAAAAGGGGTGCATGTGTTTGACCACCTTAACAGTACGTGTGTTGGGGTGCTTGCGCGCACATACCACTCTACAAGCGCATGCAGCGAACACACGGGTGTTAAATGTGTTTGTGTGCAGCCGCTGCTCGCACTTCCTGCTGCACACAAAATTTCCCGCCCTCCCACCCCTTCTTACAGTGTCTCTCTGTTGCCCCTGGAGTGGGCGGTGCCCGGTGCCCCTGGCGCGGGCTGAGTTAGCAGTGGCTTGTGCCTGGTGTAGCCCCATGTGGCTTGTTCTAAGCCTCGAAAGGGGGATGAGCCAGCGGCAGGATTTCCTGCCGCCTGGCGGAGTGTGCATTGCGACCATTGAAAAGGGGTGCATGTGTTTGACCACCTTAACATTACGTGTGTTTTAGTGCGGTGGGCAGCCAGGAGAGGGAAAACATTGTGGAGGGTGTGAAGGTTTGCAAACGACGGTGGAACCTGGTCAGCGTGAAGAATAGTGGAGAAAGTACGAACCCGACAGCCCTTAAAGTGTCTACAGCCTTTGACGACTAAACGAACGCAGCGCAGAGAGGCATCCCTGATCAAGGGATCGATGAGGTTCTGAGTGGATCGAGTCATCCTCCCGAGAGATCGATCCGTCCTGCCTCCTCGGCTGTACCGCAGCCGACAATGATGGTGTACGCTGCGTTAGTAACTTGCGCGATTTCTTTCGGTGTCTTCCGGCATAGGGGCTCGGATAGCCTGTGTATTGCATCCGCTTGGATGACACGCATTACTTTCTTTTGCTGCTTTCTTGTCTGTTGCATGCTTGTACAGGTGCTCCTGGTTGCTGTTCTTGGCAGACGCTGCTTTTCTTGTGAGTTTGTATTTTTGGCTTGTCTGTCCAGATTGTATAGCCGAAATTAATTTGTGCATTCCTCGACTTGGCTCAAGCGGGTGCGAGACTCACAAAACGCAACCCCGACACGCGATTGCAGAAATAAAAAAAAATATATATATATATATTGCCTTAAACCATAAACCCGCAACCCTATAAACCCTAAAGCTTTCCAGGCCGTGAGTTTTTTCACAGTTTTCAACATGTTCAACCACGGGTTTTTGCAGCCCGGCCCAAAGCAGTAGAAAACCTTCCAAAGCTGGGCTGGGCATGGATGGTGTTCCACAATATGTTGTCTGGTTGGCAAATTTGCCTCGGAGCACAAAGCTGTATGTCCGTGACCAGACAAAGAGGACTAAGTATGCTTTCGTTTGCCGCGAAATTCAGGAGCACTCAGGTATTGCGGCTGCCCTCAGCCAATTTGCGGCAGTGTATCCACCAGGTAGCCAAGTGGTTGCCCTTGCCGCCATTGAGCCGGTAGCAGTCCATCATGCGCTGCTAGAATTAACAGAGGAAGAACGGCAGCAGAGAGAAGCATGGCGCTTCCTGACTTCGTGTAGCCTGCATGGTCAATTGTATTACTTTAGAGTGATCAAAGTGGAGATGCTGGCGTTGCCGCTGCCAGTGGAGTTGGTTGCTTCCCAATACAAGAAGCAGCTTTTCGGTGTTGTAAGCGAGTCTTGGAGCAGCCATGCCTTCGCAAGCTTGAAGTTATCAGCAGCAGAAGTGAACTGGTGGAGGCAGGTTCACGGTTCCTTGCAGGACCCATGCATCCTGCTTCGTTTGCCTGCAGCGGTTCTGACTCTGATAACCAACCGCGACTGGACTCGCCTGGCTGTGCCGGACCTTAGCAAGGGTTTCAGCTTTCGTGCAGGTTGGGATGTGTTCGCAGAGTTTGCAGGAGAGCCGAATATCAGAGCACAGTTTTTGTTGCTTCAGCCCGGTTCTCTTAGACCGATTTTCGCAGAGCGTGAGTCTGAGCAGCATATTGTAGATGATGGTGGCGCTGGTGCCGGGGATGCAAACCGTTTCAATCTGAGCAGTGCATCGGGGCAGGTTCATTTGCAGGACTTGCTGCGAACCGTTGCAAGGTCTCTGACGGGTTGTCAGCCATGTGATCAGTTGCAACGAGAGCGCTTGCTGCGTGACTTGCTTGCAGCCGCTGAAGCAGTGGAGCTTGCGCGGGATAACCGCATGATCTTTGAACGCCTGCACTTATCAAGAACGTTTTGCCAGCGGTACAACATAGCATCTCTGTTGCGTTTCTTCTTCATTTCAGGCTTCCTGCGAAATGACAGCGACATGCGAGAAGTCATCGAGTTGTGCTGTTCAGTAGCTCTTCCCAAGGATGTTGCAGACAGTGCATTGGCTTTTCTGCGTGGATTGACTGGTTCAGATTTTCGGGTTCCAAGCCCAGCAACTATTTCGAGAACACGTTTCCGGGTGGACACAGCTTGGATGATACTGTTTCGTGAGCAGCTGCAGAAGATGCTAGACGATGGTGGCGTGCGACTGTATGTTCAATCGGATGCTACCGCTCAAGCAGGACGGCAGTACCAGATCACTTTGATGAACATCGTGCGGGCCGGCGACCTTGACAAACTTCGCAAGGACCGATTTTTTGCAGCTTGAGTTGTAGGTTGCAGCCCTGAATGTTGCCAGCTTCTAGATTCTAGTAGGTTGTGCAGTTGACAGGAAGTTTTGCGAAGTGTACACGGAATGCATGTGTCAATGTTCTGCAGCCGTGTGAGATCAGCTGCAGCTGAGTGATGAAAGTGTGGCCATTGGAGGTGCCGGCCTCCAGCTCGTACAGCTATAGTACCTCGACGAGCACATCGGGAAGCGGCAGCGACTCTGACTCGTCCAAGAACAAGGACAAGAAGGACAAGAAGAAGAAGAACATGTCATGCGAGTCAAGCGAGGAGGAGCGAATGGACCCAGAAAACTACAAGGTCATGAAGGGCAAGCCTGAGGACCTTATGGATGTAGACAAGGAGCCGGATGAGGAGGGGCGAGATGTGCCACCGATTGTCCTGTCGGAAGCACCAACAAAGGCCAACGGTCGCAACAAGGGCATGCCAAGCGGTGATGCTGCTGCTGAAAAGGTGCCGTGTGTCTACTGCGGCAAATACATCTCCGATACTCCGAACGCGAGGTGGCAACATGAAGTCTACGGCACCTGCAAGAACCGCCAGCGTCGCTACAGTCGCGACTGGGAGAAAGGAGATGCTCCAAGCGCCAGCGCCGGGCACAAGGGTGAAGCTGAGGCATCTGAGGCAGGCAAGAAGAAAGGATGGCAGGCATGGCAGGCCGATGCAGGTCGTGGTCGCAGCCGCAGCTCTACGCACCGCGGTCGCAGCCGCAGCCCACTCCGTCGTGGTGACCGTCACCGTGGTGCTGGTGTTCATCGAGGTGACCATGGCCGACGGAGTTCAAGCCCAAGCCAGGCCAGTCAGGCTGCGAGTCAGGCTACTCAGGCTACGCAGCCGAAGGACGTGCTCGCCAACTTCATGATGTGCATGGGCCAGGTGCTCAAGCTTGGGTCGGATGCCCCTTTGCCGTGACCATATGTAGATGCCGTCGCAAACTTTTGAGCGCCGAGCTTGAAGCTCCGAGCTTGTGCAATGTTGATGAATGAAACCGAGAAAGTACTCAACCTGACTGCTTTGATAGGAGGCACATGCTTGGTGCGTTTGGTACCATTTGGCTGGGTACTGCACTGCTGCACTTCGGACCGCTTGATGCAAACAAAAATGGCCGCTGCACACGTCCGTACTTGCTAGCTACTAGGATGTCTCTGTGTGCGTGGTTTGCCTATGCAGTGGTGCTAGTTGGCGTCTGCCGGTCTGCTACTTGTACTGTCTCTGCCTGCAGGACTTTCTGGTGCTGGACAGCTATGTTGCCTTGAGCCCGGAACGCAGGATTGCAGAGTGGGAGGATGAGAGAGAGGTCATGCGCTCCATAGACAGCAGGATCATGTGGCATGTTGCCCCGCCTGCTATGCTAGGGAATGCAAGAACCAATCTCCCAGCTAAGTTGCGAGTGTTTGTGCACACGTTTGGGCTGTTGTCAGCTGATCGAGAGATGCTTGCGAAGCTGCTCAGAAGCATCGTTTCTG